GTTTACGGCGAAATTGAACAAGAATGGCGAAATAGGACACCCTTGACAAACATCGCTCGCTTCGAACGATTTACTCAGCCCGCCGTCGACCCTTGGGCTACCAGACGTCTGCAGGTACAGCGACCCCAGAAGAGCTTCATGTTCAATTGAATCGAAAGCTTCTTTTAGGTCAAGGAACACTGCGATTGTTGGCCTACGATATGTGCGACGCAGTTCGAGGACTTGACGCAGAGTGAAGATTTGGTCGATTCAACCGCGACCTGGTCGGAATCCAGCTTGCTGTTTGCGGGTATTCATCTCTCTTAAGGGTTTCAGGCGGCGAAGTATCGATCAGATCATTAGGAACTATAAACTGGAAGCTAATTTTACCCATTTAGATAATATAACGGTATGTGCTTCCTTTGTGAAAGAGCATGGGAGAAACTTGAATCGTTTCTATGAAGTTACTCGTAACTGCTCCTTCACCTTTAATGACGCTAAAGGCATCATACACAGACAAAATCAATATGCTGAGGTACGAAGTCTCTCATAGATCCATCAAACCCGACCCGGATCGTCCACGACTCCTGCTAGAGGTGCCGCCTACTCGAGATCAGAAATCGATACAACGAGTTATTTGCGTACTACTCTCAGTGGTTATCTCACTTCTCTGACAAGATTAACCCTCTGATCAACAACCGCACAGTCCCGCTGCCTAAGCCGAAGATCTAATCATACTTGGAAGATCGAAGGGTAGAGGTCGGACGAATTTCAGTCTCCGGGTTCCACTAGAATTTGCGTTTCAGTTGGTAAAAATTGTTGGAGGAGTAATTGATCCAAGCAAATAGGCTTCCACTTCGCTTCACCCGCTGCCTTTCGGCTAGGTTTTTGTCGGAACTAAAGACTTGGGTGGAGTAAAGCCCAGGGTGGTCAAGCTAATATCTAGCATGAGGGTATGAAAACCCTAACCAGGAGTCTGGGTCACATAGGTCCCTTTAGGCTCCCTGGATGAGGACCTCGGGATGGTCTTGCCCGATGTTTAGAGGCGCTGAGTGATATGGCTGGGTTTCGTAAACAGTGGCGTTCGTGCATCTTCTCAGTTTCTCTGTATCATTAGCCCACTGAACTTTTCAATTTTCTCTTCGATTCTACTTTCAACCTTTCCTGTCTTTCTCCTAATGTTCATCCAAATGGGCAGCCGAAAGATAGCAACCAAAACCGGCGCACGATAGTGCATGGTTAATGAAAAAAAGACGGGTTGATAACCCTAATCGTTCTCTTGCTTAGTGACTGGACACCCTGGCAGTACCCGTCTGTCAAACCTCGATGCATATGCACTGGCGAGTTTGGCAGCGATCAGTGACGTTCATCTCCCTGTATTTCGCTGTACGATGATGATATCTCGCATGCCTATCTCATCCACACTGTACCTTGTCCCTAAAGGAGCTTGACAATTCACCATGCCATACTGGCGTCGTGCGTCTTCTGCATTTTGTGAGATACCGAAATCCAGCGTACTGTGTATAAGACGTAAAAAGCACTAACTCAGTGTACAGTGGGCTCCGAATTAAAACCGAAATTTTGCAAACTGCCCACCGGGAACCTCATCAAGGCTACCGCTTCGTCTGAGAGATTAAAATGAATTTCAAGGATCATTACCATAATATACAAGTAATAAATATTTACTCGCAATAACTAATGAATATTCGCGGTTTCCTTTCGCAATTCCATGTATCGATATGATCGTTACTACAATTATCAATCATATCTGTCAATTTTTTTTCTGTATTTGGTACACCTTACATTCATTCATGTGAGATGAACTTAGACGTGTTCTTCATGCCAAAGGAATTGTAACTAGCCGAACCACCGCAATCAACCATAAAGTATTGGACAGGCTGAGCGGTTCAACGGTACACTTTGGCGCGCCATCACCCTAATCGCCAAATCGAGATCTTTAACTTGCTGCGATTGGGAAATTTTTCTCCCTGATATTTTGCATTCTCTTCGTTCCCTCTTTTTATTTTTTATTACACACCTAATTGTGATGAACAGCCGACGGGGTAAACCCCATAGTCGCGAGGACCTGCTGTTCAGTGGTAAAAACTGGCAACCTAAGCCCCGGGACTTGGAGTGGCGAACCACACGAGGCCCCAATAGGTTAGGCGTGGTATTGAACCGCACGACAGCAGAGCTGCCTCTTTGAGTGTCATCGAAAATCAACATCCGGCGAATCACTGTCAATTTAGTTGACTGTTGTGGTTTTAACGAAACGCCTTCCACGAGTATCAAAGTACGAGCCATTGGTTGACGAGGTAGAGCTGATTGAATGCAATCCAAGGTACGCCCACGTTAGACCTCTAAACGGCAGAGAAGAGACGGTGTCCGTTCATCATCTAGCCTGTTATGTATTGTCGAACAATCACCGAACCTGATCCAAAGATGTGTATCCCACCGATTCCAGTAAAAAGACAGTTGGAAAACAGTGCGAGCCTTTATTGGTATCACCAGCCAAAATTTAGTCGTGGTCCATCAGGGAATGGAACATGTGGTATTTAAGGGTTTGGTCACTGTCTAGAGATTTGTCCGGAATGGGGGTTACGTGGATGGCGATGAAGGACTTTCTAGATGTCAGGTCATCGTACTCTACACTTTTACTCGGACGCCCACGTATCCAGTACCATTGAGGAAACGCCGACACGTTCACACGGTCGCGACTGATCCCAATCCGGTTTTAATTCATACAGTGGGAATTCTCAGGAGAAGGTTAGGCTTCTCCTGACATAGCCCCTCGATCATCATCGTATTCACCAAAAGTCCCCGAACGTCCGTTTATCGAACCTATACCAAATGATGCCCCTTTTGGCAGCACACAAAAAATATACACACGATGTCGTTTCACCTCATAGTGCAAACTCTCCTCAGTCCGAGGATAGAGAACAGCCCTCACTTTTAGAACTGTAACAACGAACTCACCCTTATAAACTAAGAACCCGAGAGTCCTGACAACATTTTGTATACCGAGAGAGAGTACCGTGCTTATTGCATGTCGCTGTATTCATAACACTTCTCTTTTATACGTTTCAGCCTATATGCCAGAGTTGATAGACGAACAAAGCTTTAAATCTCTGGGCTCTGTCTTCTCTCTCGAGCGACTACCGTCTGTTTACATGTGTTCAGAATAAGACAACTTGTTTGTTTTAGATTCACTAACGGATTGTGATGAAACGGTTTGTTACTCTTCAGAGTAAAATGTGATTAGTTGCAATTGTTTCCATCTTTAGATGCGGAATTTCGTTCAATCGCGAGGCGATCTATGCACTCAGTTTGTGTATGGCGTTCATCCAGTTTTCTCATCGATCTGCTTTAATCAACGCATCATCCAAAAGCTCTTTATTCGAAACGATCTGGATGCTACCGGCAGATCCCATGAACTACTTTCTTCGTGGATTGATCGGATCCAAAATGTTGCTACTAAGGCTCAAATCCCTGTTGTGTATACATCTCACACTGACCTGAACACAATGGTGAATGGAAGGGCTCATCAAGGTGTTGTACTAGAAGCCAGTCAGATACCAATAAAGCCAATCAACCGGCTAACTGTAACCGAATTATTGAATATCCAAAAAACTCAACAGGAACATATAAAATTAGACTTTGTACACAAGCGTGTTAGACCTCTTGTTCTATTCATTGACCATTTGACGGATGTCATGAATTTTGGAAGCATTGTTCGTTCGGCAGTGTTTTTCGGTGCATCTGCACTTCTGTTTTCCCCGAGTCCATGTGTGGCTCCGTCTCCCTTAATAAGCAAATTGAGCGTCGGCGCGTTGGAGAGCTTACCATTGTATCGCCTCACTGATGTTATCAGTGATCTTCACTCGTTGAAAAATGCCGGATTTTTGATAGTGGGAACTGCTGGCAATATGGAATGTGGAAAACCGAAACGACTTCCCTCTTCCTGTTGGTCTCTTACCGGTGATGAGGTAAAACAAATCAAAACAACATTTTTCTTATTCCGGCTGGGATTCTTCCACTGACTTTGCAGCTTTATGAGTACCTAGAAGTCAAATTCTTGTATATTGCTTCATGATGTGATACTCCATTGTGCCACTGCAGAAACTGATATTTTTTAGACTTGATTGTAATGGTCTTCGTTAGTTCCATACTATTGTTCCGTATACATATTTCACACACGTCTGACGCCAGACTGTGTACCAAACAAATCATGGTACAATAATCCTCATAAAAATCGTTCCGTAATTTGCATGTGGGCTGAATACTGTCAGGTTGCCTAGGCCAAGGTAGGACTTGTTTTGACCGCCATTTACTTTTTTCAATTGTCAGATTTAGGTAGTTCGTCTTTCGTTCCAACTATCTTTGAGTAATCCTCGGTTAGATGCTGTTCGAGTTTTTTTGCTATTACGTACGATTTATAATTACTGAGTCACTGTCTTGAAACAAGAAAGGTGCCAACTCAAAATAGACAATAAAAGAGTTACAAACACACCATAGGAGGCGTGTCATATTGTCGCTAGACGATGAACCGGAGGGTCTCAAAGTGGTACCATGTTCCAAACTTGAATATTGAAAGCATATTGTCGTTTTGATGCCAGAACCCCTGTTCAACGGACTGGAGTAGCCCCTCTGAGCCGGTAATTGGGCACGTTCATTGGGCTTATTTAACCTCTTACTCTCCACCATTTACTCAGCTCTCACCGGTGACTAAGAAGCTGAGGGACACAGCAACCGCNCCCATGCAAGCCGATCAACAGGCGGAATAAACCCGGTTGAGGGTAGCCGACATCTAAAACCTGAAACGAGACGGTCTGTTAAAACAGCTATTCGTTAGTGAGCAGATAGGATATGCCGCCTCATCGAACAACTATTCACTTTTCAGTTTTTACAACCACTAACTGAAAGCTGATCAGTCGTTGGTTCGAACGGCCATAAAGCAAATTTGTACAGCTAACAAGGATCAGAGGATCCCTTGGTTGTATTCGAAATGAATGAGTTCTTGGGGATCGGCCACCGACCATGCAGCGGCACACTGTCGCCGTACCGTCCATATTGTGCATTTCTGCAAGCAAGGTAACTTCGGGGACATCTTTTGTACCAAACTATCATAAATCTTCATTACCTAATACTAATGTCAGTTATCGGTGACAGAGCTTGAACCACGACCGTTAAGTCTCAATTCACCCCGATGACTGATCTAAACTGATTGACCACCATCACCCTCAGCTTTTCAAGTTGCACAGTCCCTCTGAGATGTTGGCGTTAGGCAAACTGTTCGTGTTGATTTTAACGTTACTTATCCTGTTCCAGGTTGGTGTTCACGATGATGGTGGTACTGGTGTCTTGCCTAGACCGATGCTTCTTGCTTTGGGCAGCGAATCCAGAGGATTGAGTGAAGAAGTAATACAGGCATGTGATCTACTTGTGCGAATTGTCGGCTCTCAGGAATCGCAAGGGCACTTCACAGGGGACTGCTCTCCGCTCCCATCTTCGTTGAATGTGGCTGTCGCTGCTGGAATATTGTTATATCATTTGACTTGTCTACGCCACGGGCCACAGAATGTGGATTCATGTTTGCATATGTGATCACAGCAAATACTTGCTTTGTACAGTAATGTGTGCAAACCCGTCTGAATTGTAGATAGTCTTTTCTCAAGAATATATTTTTATACAAACAGGACTTTTCCCCTCAAATTTGTCGTAATATGCACCGTAGTTTTCTAGTTTGCACTTTTTCACCATGTTTGGTTTGTCAAGCGTAATATATCCCGTTTTATTGTTGTATATGTGTACTCATAGAACTCCAATACCTTCCGAAGAGATCAGTTTCACAGAAAAAGTCCACATTTACTGATCGGCGATAATTTTAACGTTGAGCTTTCACAATTGTTTCTTTATGATACAGTGATAGCAGGACTCAAGTCTGCACAGACGTTCGATAAACAAAGTCGTCAGCCGTGGGAGGCGGTTGTTATGCAATAGTGGGTAACTTCCGAAGTACAACTGTATCATTGATACGGTCTGAGTCTTTGAAATCTTCATAGTTGTAGCTCTGCTGTAAACGGACATATGATACTTACCTTGATCTTAACTAATCTTCGGTATACGACTGTTCGTGATTCATTTGGAGAAACCTTGGACTATAGTTAGTTTTATTCCAGTTTTTGATTTGACCCAAACATTCTATGGCAGAACATGAGATTGAACCGCTTTATTTTGTTTCAGCCAAAGTAACCAATGCTCGATGTTCCATTTATCTTTTGGTGTTGTCTTTCCTTTCACGTATGTTTCAGTTTGTACAACCATCAACCATGCACTATCGTGCGCCGGTTTTGGTTGCAATCTTTCACGTAAATGTTCCGCACATGATGGGGGGTTCTAATATCATATCTGGGGTTGTGAACAGAACAGAACACCTCAGTGTTCGTTATTTGTTGTCCTTCCTGGATCCGGAGCGTGACAACCCAACTACGGACTAAAACAAAGTAAATACGTGAAACAATATGATTACGCATCACAGTAGAATAAAAAAACCCGTAGTCTCGTTAGTGGGAACCGGAGCTGTTGATTGATATACGGTCCATATAGGTGGGATAGCATAGAGTGGGGCGTCAGGATAGCTCTCTACTATGAAGCAACCATAACATTTGGATAACCAATGTCGAATTTCATTGTCTTGCGTTTATCATATCTCAAAGGACCTCACCTTTCTTGTCGTTCGATTAATTTATCCAGCCGGAAAACGCTAGCACGTTACAGGTTTTGCGCTTCGCAATATCCGCTGGTCGTCTTTTGAAATGCACCAACACACCACGGCTGTACATTTTAGCATTTATGGGCTCATCGATACAAACAGATTCCGTAGATCGTGGTAATTTTATTTAGAATAGATGCATGTGTAATCCAAATAATTTTGAAACTTGGATGTTCGGCTAGGTGTGGATTGTAGAAGAATATATGTCGTGACTATGTCTGTCTCAATCTGTCTCCCCCCTCCGTCACATAAACATAATCCAAAGATGATAAATAACATAATTTTTGCCGACCCGTAAGCACACCGGAATGTTGCAATGGTCAACTCATCCATCAAAACGATTGTGGTACAATGGGATCTGCTGTTGATGACGGCTGTTTTCATAGTTTGAATGGAAATATTCAAATTCATTTAAACGCTTTCATCCGGAACAGCTATCTGGAAAACTTAGTTGCCGAACTCAGCAACAGTGGGAAGTAGTAGGGAACGAAGGAACACATTTCCATGTCATTTAAAAGAGGAGCGGAATGTAAGCAAGCGAGAATTGTGTGTGGTAAACCTTTAAATGGCGGTGGTGACGCCACCAAATTATCACCCCGGAGGGTTTGTGTTTGAATCCCACCACCACTGCTAGACTTTCCCCATTCCATGTGGTAATGCAGCTATTTAATTGGCCGCTTTCTCCTTCCTGAAAGTGTATCATTGGTTGTTCAATAAAAAGAAGTCAAAATAAAAACACAAAAAGACGTTCAGAACACTAATTTATATATCCAATCTTCACATAGTGTTCTTATTGAGTGCATGTGTCTATTCATTCCCTTTTTCCTACGGAAACATTCATGGTAATCATACGATCAATCACCTGATTGAGTTCACCAGTAGGCACCACTTCAACCTGACTGAACTGTATAGATTCGAATCCTAGATGTGCAATGTTCACTATGAATCAGTTAATGATCGTATTCATACCACAACGGAAGTGGCAGAAAGTTGTCTCAGTAATCGTTTCCGGCTGATAGCATCAAAAGATTATTCGTGCAACCCTTACTCTTTTCGGATGCAACCTAAATCGAAACAGGGACTGATCTTGATGAAATTCCAATCCTGCGTGGGTTTAAATTGAAATAATGACAATTCATGATCTCGGATTAGCGGGAGAACGAAGCCCCATTCCAAACGTGGTTGCAGTATGAAGTAAACCTGGACTTCGTATTTAAATAGGCAATTTGAAGTAAAGAGACGTCTGACATGAAATAGAGAAAAATCATATAAGCAAAAAATCACTGGAGAATTTAACTTCACAACAATATGGGTGAGAGTGAAAAGACGATAGGAAGTAAACAAATAAGCGCACCGTCCATTAGGTTCCGAAAAATATAACGAAATGATTGCAGTCTCATGTGGCACAAATCTACACTGGATGGTGGCGTGTAGCATTTACTAATAGCATATCTCTTCTTACTCTTCTGTGCGTCGTCCTTTGTGAATTGACTTCACCAGGGTAAAATGCACCTTAATCGAAATCCCCTCATTTGAATTTTCATCATCAATCCTGCGCGATATTTATCATTGTCCTGCTCCTTTTAAGTAAACGACAAACTAACTAGGGCGGCAAAAACATACTGTTTTACCTAACAAATCGCATGTGGTTGAGGTTAGAATTGTATGGAAATTACCCAACTTTGAGTTACGGATAGAAATAGATGCTATCCAATTACCCTGGAAACTATTTTTGGAGATTTTTGGGTTTTATGTTGTTGGTAGGCCCTATAAATTGTGAATGAGATACTATAAAATGCTAGCCATCAACAACACGTTTGTGAAAAACGATTGAGCCCCTCTAAACGGCAGTCACACCTGACGAAAATCCCTATTAGATGCAGGCTACTCGTGAGTAGCATGAACCCGATGACATATAGAGCTCGGAGCTTAGCCAAAAGAAAACCAAAATATAAAAGGTTATGTTGCAAAAACGTTTCAATATCTTTTAGACGTTAGAAGTTATTAAATAGAACTGATACCGGTGCTGTACTCTATCCTATTTCTCCTGCCAACATGACAGGGATCTCCAGGGCGAAACAAATCATTAACTACACAAAAAGAGATTAACAGATTTTCGATGCCTCGTAAAATATCTCTAGTCGAAATGGTGCCGTTTTCTTGCATCAGTAACACCTGAACGACGACGACAAGTGTCCACTTGTACGATTACGGCTTTTAGAAGGTATTTTATTGTCGGTAATCTTCCGCACACGCCCTTTCTCCGTTTTCGTTCGCAAACGTCCGTGTTCACTTCGGCTAGTCTAC